CTACCTCGGCGCCGCGAGCTCCTTGGCTCGGGGAGGCCGCGAGCGCTCCAGGTTAGAGCGTGCCAGGACGTTAAACGCAGAGAGACGAGATGGAGCTGAAGAGAAGCTGGTGGGGAACGTCTCGCAGCCCACTCGCCTCCCTCCCCAGAGGAAATTCTGGGAAAGGATTCTCCTTACCATAAACCAAAGAGAAAACAGCAACAGCAACAACAACAATCCAAAAGCCCCAAGAATCTTTGCTTCCTGGAAAAATAAAGTTTCTTAAATGCTCAGGGGAATCAAATAACAACATTTCTGAGTCACGTTTCCAAAGCAGATGATGCTTCTGAGCAATGTGGGATGGCGATTACTGCAAACCTGGCGTGTAATTCATCCCAATTAAACTCCGCTTACTGCAGTCGCTGTGGATCGACTTGCCCTTCATTTCAATTTAGCGCAGTTTAACGCTAGGCAGAAATGTGACCTGCTCATCAACCACGCCAGAGGCTGGCGGCGCTGAGCCGGATCGTGAGCAACGACGCTCGCTCCCAAATACAGCGGCATGCCAGGAAATTCAGCACGACTTGGGGGAGACGTGTCATAAACATTGCTTGAGAAAACTGGGATCCTCTTTAAAGCAAACTCTCTCTGCTGGGGAAGCAGAGCCACAGCAGCCTTGACTATAGATGCTCCTTTTAAGATCATTTTTGTGCTGTAATTTGCACACTCTGCCCACACACCAAACGCGTACAGAGGAGAAACCCAGCAAAACCTAGATGGTCTTCTACCTTTTGACAGGATATACTGTGCAGCACAGTAAATTTGCATCCAGAGACGGTTGCAACCCACTCACGTGCCTGACTCGGGACGTAACTAGTCTGATCATTGCAATAACCCTCAAAACTCTGCAAATAAGGGCAAGGGCACAGGAAGATCCAGTTCTCTGGGACTGTACTGAGCAGGCAGATAATTTCCCTAAAATAAGCAAGGGCGTGACTTTCTAAGGCATCACCTACCCGGAAGAAACTAGCTGGCTCGACATTCAAACATTCGCTTGCCCTGCCATAATCTGTCCGTGTGCTCACACCTTCAGTGAAAGGGAATGTTATTTTATCCCTAAAAAAAGAGTCTCACAGCACTCAGAAGTTATGGTCTTTGCAGCCATGACATGCGCAGTAGGGCTGAAGACCACTCCTGTCTTTAAAGGACACATGGCTTGACAAAATCAGCTGGAAAGAGCTGGCAGCTGGGTTTTCACAGTAGTTCACCAGGCAATAACTAATAAGTACGTGCTGTCTCTCAGGGGAAAGAAGGGGCCAGAACGGCAATGGCCTTCCTTCGCGCCAGACCTCAAGTGTCTTGTCTCCACTGAGGGATACTGCAGCCTGCTAACTATGCCCTGCATTCACTTCTTGCCGCAAAGAGCACCAGAGGTTAGCGGGGATAGAGCTGTCGTTGCAAGCTGCATGCCTAAAATCCATGGTGTGGAGAAACCTCCCAAGCAAACGAGGAGGTTCTCAAAGGCAGGAGCATGCGGGGAGTTCCTACAGCCAGGAGCAGTCTCTGGGAGGACACCGTACACCTGGAGGGAGCAAGGCATAAAGCTCTAGCCCACGCATGCTTGCAGCTGCTTGCTCAGCTCTCTCATCCTCCCAAACGTGCCTGTGTGTGCTGGGGAGGTGGTGGTTTAGGTCTTGGTTTATGCAGCCCTCTTCACGCCACACTGATCTACTGCGGATCAGCCCTCTCTAGCTCCACTATCTCTAGTGACTCAAATACCTTCCAGCGCCTTTGCACCGTGGAAGGAAATGACTCTTGAGCAGGAAGCGAGGCAAGTGCAAATGCCACTGTCCCAATCAAGCAAGCACT